ATCCAAAGGAAAGTCCCCAAAGAAATTAAAAATGAGAGAAATTCTAAAATAACTTAACTGACCGAGAAGATCTGGTTTAGGATTTTGAATTGTATGAATATTTGGCAAATAAAGGCGTTTCCTTGGTGTTTTCCTCATGTACACTAGACGGGCTGTTTTTGATAATCTGATTGGCTATAGGCTGCTGGTTATTCGATCGCCTGTGTCTCTCTTATTTACCATCTGGTGGGAGACTGGCAGCCCGACGCACCGTTTTCTATCGTCTGTTCACGGAGGGGGCGAGCCAATTTTCTCCAACCTGTTCATCTAAATTCTGTTTAGCATCAGTCACACATTTGTGAAAAGGAACTACAGTAATTCTGTAATAACATTTAGAAGGATGTGTTATTCCTATATTGTAGGCACTGGAAATATCAGGAAACGTAATGTTACACAGCAGCTGGATTTGAAACACTCATGATGGTACATCTGTGGAATATGGTAAAAAGGGACAGAATATTAGTGTTGAGCATGTGCAAATTGATTTTTTAACATTTAAAAGTAGTAAAGTGGTGACATGATTACCATCAGACAGACAGAAACAAAACAGCCACTCATTTTGCTCACTTGCTATTGTGTTACCGATCAGTTTGTGAGTTTAATTTAATAAGGTGATTAGAATCAGTTTCAGCCTGGGCAGTTTTTCTTGCAAACAAAACTGGTGTCTAACAAAAAAGAAAGTCTATAAATGCTTAGTTGATGTAAAAGTTATTGTTTCTGAAGGGAAAACACTTATCATGCCTTCCCCTAGATGATTTTCTACTGAACTTTTACAGTCCCTGAATGTTTGCGATCCATCTGTTGCTGTGCACCGCCGAGAGTGAAAATGGAGCACGTCTATATTTATTCAGTGTTTATATGAGGCAGGCATAGTGGATTGGTTTAATGCTTGTCATATTGACACACCTGTTGTGTTTCCAGTGGGTCCACAGAGACACAATGGCATTGGTACAGCGAGTTTGTATGCCATGTAACTCGGCCGCTTATTCTGTTACTTGTTAACATTGTAATGTGGATGATTCTTTGTAATTTAATGAGGTGATCTTTTATATTGAAAGCAGAATCTTGGGGAGCTGGTAGAAACGCCTGTCTGAAAATACTCATTGGCACAGAATGTGTGTGTGCTAAACTGCAGCATTATTCATCTGCACTTAGTGTGTTTGTCTTTTGTCTCGGAGAAGCAGTGATTCCTGGTTTGCTTTGGTTATTGCATCGCTTATCCTACCAGTAATGGTTTCTAATGGTGAATATTACCTTGCTTATCTCTTTTTATAGCCATATGTCTCCAGTCCCAGCTACCATGAAACTGCCATAAAGAGGGTGACAATTGCAGTTTATAGTAGGTTTAACAGGTGAGCACAGCTGATAACACACAGCTCTCATCAGGATCAAGCACAGTGAATGACATGTGAGCCGTATGTTGTTGTCCACATGGCTGAAACACCGGTTATACTTTATCATAATGCTGTCAATGTCAGATGGTCCCTGCTTTTATTACTGTGCTTGCACTACACACATCTCACTGGTAAAGGGCCTACTCATTTGTAGTGAAGCATGCATTTTGTCAAAAAGAGACATAAATGATTCAGGTTAGAGGAGTTGAGAACATTTTTAAAATAACAGTTTGAAAGGGAGGAAAACTCTAAATCGTGCTTTATGGAATTTAAACATATGATGCATGATCTACAGCTGCAAACACTTCCAGTAGAGGAAGCTGAGTGAGAGCTGAGCTGCTTTCAACAAACGGTTTTATTTATAAAACGCCTTGTATTAATACATTCTTATGCAATCCCAGGCAGCAACTGGAGCCTGCAACAAACCAACTGCTCTGCTGTGGCTCATACTGAGGCTGTTTAGACCTATTCGCTGAACCACAAGCTGGGACCCTGTATATATTAAGATGTCGCATCAAAGCACTTTGCTTTCCAGCAACACAGCAGGGTCCAACTGACCAGACTTAAGTTCATGCTCAAGCCTTCATCCAAAAGCTTTGATGTTTGCGTGCTTGTGGACAAGCTTGTATGTGGGTGTCATGGAGGAAGAAGGAATCGTCTAGTCTTGTGTCTCCCCTGCTTCCGGTCATCTCTGCTCTTCAGAGAGAAAACCCTTGGGTTTAAAGGTTCATTTGTCCGATGCCTTTCCAGTGGTTTGTGGATTTGAGGGGTGCCGTGGAGAAAGCTGCAGTTCCTGTTCTCACCATTCTGGCCCGTTCTCATGAATAAAGCCTGATCTTCTGACAAGGAAGTGTAAACAGTTTGATTGGTCAGAGAGCAGACACAAGAATATCTATTGCTTTCTGTGGAATATGAAGAATGTTCTGTATCAAAGATGAGGCGAGAATGTTGCCATAATTTCAGCTTTTCGTTATATCTCCTGCTTTGTTATGAAAATCAAGAGTGAGAGCTGCTTATAATGCAAGCACAACTCTAATGCAACTTGAAATGAATAACAGCTTTTAGGCAAATATAGCCTCTGATGTGCTCATATACTGTCTTATTGCTTTTATTTTATGATTTAATGTGATTCTCCAAACAAATGAAACTTTTTCTCATGCACACACACTCATAACATGTTCAGTTTTAGGCTCTTAGACTCCACAGAAGGGACAGTTGCTTTCAGCGAACACAGTTTTTACACCTTACTGTAAGTGTAGACATGACATTTACAGAAGTACAGCAGGTGAGATAGACTTAGACTTTACATTATGCGAATATGACAGCAGATTGAGTTGGAACCATATGTCTGTGTGGTTGGTCATATTTATCTGGCTGATAGACCACCTGTTATATTAATCAGGAGGCCCTGGCCATATCTGCACTCCTCAGTTGTAAAAGTATTATAAATCCTGATTTAAGTAAAGGGAGGCCAATATGTTGCAGCAGATTGGAGAACAGCAATTTATGACCTGCTGCATGCTGGGTCTCTGCCGCACCTGAAAGAGCCCTCGGTTTATTCACTGTTGACCTACAGTATATAAAAGAGAGTCAGAAATAATCAGTCATCAGATTTGAGTCTGTCTACATTTCTAATTTGCTGCAGTTGCAGTAAAGAAAATAACCTGCAGAGGTTGAGCATTGGAGATTTGTTGGGTTCTTCGATGAAAGCTAAATGAACATGGAGGTTAAATATTGTAAAGCATTTTACAACCTGAAAACCTTTTTGTTACTGGACCGATGAAAATGGTCTTTCTATGAGAACTCAATAGAATATACTAAATCTGACTCATTTCATTTCACAAAGGAAATGTGGTGTAGATGCTGGATAATCTGTCACACATTAAAACAAGGAAGAATTCTGAAGCTCATTGGTTTCCTAGAGGTATTTGGGCTACATGGGACAAATAATGCCTCTTAAACTAGATCTGTCTGCTTTAATAATGTTCTTCCCCATACTGTGTTTTGGAACTTTGTTTTCCCTTCTCTGACTTTTTGATGATGTTTACTACAAACAGTGATGTACCAGCACTGCTCCTGGCCTTTTGATGAGCACACTGGGAACCCAGCTGGGTTGTTTGGGGGTGTGCTGCAAACTACGTGGAGGGCACTGTCATTATCGTCATCCAAACTCTCCTTCTGAGAACTCTGTGATCTGGAGGAGGGGGTCGAGATCAGCTTTGCTAAAGTCACATGGGGTTGTTTATTTTGTTAATATTAATAAAGGGTAGTAAAGGTTAGGTAAGAATTTAAATTGCCTTAGTTGAGGCTTAATTGTCCTTCTGAAAAGTCAGGCCCTACGTATTGGATTGGATTTGAGTGTAACTAAAATGACATTTGCAGAATTAATTTAGCTCAGTTCAGTGAAAATCAAACTGTGTGGGCACACATGACAATACTTAATATAAGTACAATGTCCCATTTTTAGTACTTTAAATAAAACATGTGGTCTGAGAAAGCTTTGGAAAACCCCTCTGAATTGGAAGCAGTATGCGGGTAAGGTGATGACATTTAGATGGGGTGTGATGATGGGACCCAGGTGGAAATAATTAAAATATCAGACACACATGCTGTGATTACTGACGTGATCTTTGAAGATATAGATTGTGTAAATTTTCTGCCTTTTCTATTCTTTAACTCTTGTAGCCATGGAAACGCAGGCTGTATAGGCTAAATATAGTGAGAGCAGCTTATGAAGTTGATAAAAGCATTGAATATAATTCACCATGAACAGAGCACCTTCATTATCCATTCAGATAAGTGTAACACACCTCTATCTGATAATAACTGCTAATTTATGAAGCACACAGTACATGATCAAGACCATAGATTGGTGAGGAATCCTGCAGTGAATGAAATATTACACAATTAATACCAAAGATAACTGGTGTTAAGATGTATGGCAGTGATATTATTCTTATATGTTCATTTATATTTGTTTAAACTTCAGTTGTAGTCCTTCAAGAGTTTATGTATCACAGTCATAAAAGAAAATAATCAAATGATCCATAAGACTAGTAGTGAGCTAGAGAATCCACTGCCCGAATCCTTTCTCGGGCATCAGTGTCCCTGCGGATGGGTGCCACAGATGCAAGTGTTTGGGAGTGAGAGTTAAGTGGGTGTACACAATCTCTCCAAAGCCGTAACCACAATGAGATTAGTGTCAGTCGGCAGCATTAATCCCAACAGTCTCCCAGCAGCAGCACCAAGCTGGCCCACTGTTAGCTGAGGAAAAACACCATAGGGAGACTGGAGGGAGTGGGGCTGTAGTGACTTAACCAAAGAATGGATTAATCAGATACAGCTAGAAGAGGAGGCGTCTTTCTGCATAATATGTAAAGCAACACAAATGCTAGGATGTCATTTGATACAATAGTGTCAGATGGAGTAAGATGAGTGAAGCAGTTTTTTTTTTTTTTAAATTAGGGTCAATTTTTGAAGGGTGTGACCCTAAAACCGACTTAACAAATCCCACTGATATAAACACTTTGAACACCCAGAAATGGGAGGTTTAGATGTGTATCTGAACTGTGGCCAGTTAGTTGGTCTTTTGTTCCACATCTTTTGTTCATGAGTCATTGTGCATTGAGCTGTGTCATCTAGAGCTGTAACAGTTAGTTCACTTGGTTGACTGACGGGAAATTGACTGCTAACTATTTTGATAAGTCATCAATCATTTTAGTCATTTGTCAGGCAAAAATAACTGATGTGCTGCTTTTCTTTGTCATAAATGACAGTAAAGTGAATATATTTGGGTCTTGGACTGTTGCTCTATAAAAACAAGCCAATTAAATTCTAATAGTCATTTGACACACTGGGACTAATCCTGGTGGGCTGCTCTATCTGCCTGTTGCTCAGGATGTGTATAGCATGAGAGTTTGCTGTGTGTGTGTTCTGGGCTCACTGGCTCACAACCAAGTTAGTTAGTGTGCATTAACATTCTATAGGTCCACTGGACTAATGCAACAGTAGCGCTGCAGTGAGTCAGCCAATGAACACTAAGGAGCAACCGAGTGCCCCAGTTTACAGAAGAGGATTAGGGCCACTGCAGAAAGGTTGAGTTCTGACTGTTTTCTCAGACTTCTGACCTGAGATTAAAGTCAGAATTTGGGAAAAAATCAGCTGTGCTTCTGACCACCACATATGTTCTGGTCTGAGGCTAATGTTGACTATCTCATCAGGACGTATGAGCTGATTCCCTAAATCTACTTTCATTTGCCAATCTTTAGCTGGCCTGCATCCTGCCTGTTCACAATTACTTGCATCCTGCCTTTTTCACCCTCAAGAACAAACAAAATCTACCTTTTATTTCTTCTTCTCCTCCACTCCAGTTTACCTCTGAGCGCCTACTTTCAATAGCTGCTGCTAAACATTTCAGGACTTGATTATGTCTCCCGGTGTATCGCCCTTGAGCCAGGCTTGTTTTACACCCTGAGAGGATGTGCCGAAATGATGCTACACCTGAACACAAGTGACATGTTGGGTCCTCACCTATCCATCCAATCAGATTTTGGGGAGATGGAAGCACATAAGTTGCACCTAGAATGAATCTGATGGTTCCTGCCTCCATGCCCCACATTTCCCTCCAACTTAGTTTCTTCCTTTCTTCATCTTCCCCTCTCATCCA